CATTTAGTTTAATGTTACTCTTAATCCTCAAAAAATATTTTAATTGACTATTGAATGTTTCTGAAATTACATTATCTAGGATATTGGCTATTTAATGTAAGAATGGTGATAAGCTTTTGGAATGAGTCTACTTGTAATACCAAACAGAATACTTTCCTTCAAAAACCCTCAGTCTCAATGTACTCAATTTCTATTAATCTGAGCAGCTTCGGAATGTATAAATTTTCCAAATACAGTATCAGGTCTTCCATTGCAATTTCTGCTGACTATTTCATGACTCTGTGGACTTTTGACCTCCCACCTGCAGAGCTTACTAGCCCAGAGAAAAGGTCAAACTTTGTCTTAAACATGATGTAAACAAAACAAACAAACAAACAAACAAAAAAGCATAGGAAAACTCTTAATAGTTGAAACATTTCTATTAGTTTCACTCCCCAGGGCAACAACTCCAAGTTCTGGAACATCAAACCAAGGCCAGCTGGAGAACTGTGATGCTGCCAACACGTCTTCTCGGAGGATATATCCAGAGTCGATAGGAAATAGCCCAGCAAAATTACACCACAAATGACAGCTCAGTATCTATACTAAATTCAGTGAATCTCAAGTGAGAGACATAATGGTGATCTCCAGCCTCCACTCAGTGGGCTATTTAGGAGGTGAAGACTTGTGATTATACAGAAAAAATGCAAGGGAACTTGCAGCATTCATTATACAAGGAGACTCATTGTTATGAAATTGCTTATATTTTTTTGATGTCAGCCACATTAATCTCTTGCTCAGCTGAGAAATGGGTTAAAAGAAGTGCTGTAATAACAGAAAATCAAATAACAGGTGGGTGTGGAGGAATATAGTTACTCTGTTACAGAGATTTTTTTAGCACTGACAGATTTCTGCCATCCTCTATAACACAACAATAGAAGACACACCAGAAACCCTCTGCTAGACTACCAACAAATACAAAATTATTCAGAAGCGTATTAGAAATACAGGGACATATCTGTGTTGCTTATCTGTCTGGATGGGCCCCAAAAACCCCATAGCCTTATGCAGGTCAGCCAGAGTACAGAGCTTTGCATTACAAAAAAAAGCCACAATACAGTCAAAAGAACAGGTGGGTATTTTGACCTTTCTTCTCCATTGGCCTTTATCCTATTTTTGAGCTTATTGTACTGCTGTGTTTTTTGGGTTTTTTGTTTGGTTTTTTTTGTTTGGTTTTTTTTTTTTCTTCTTTGGATTTAGATTAAACTCTCCTTAGGATTCCTAACTTGACATTTTCTTCTTTAGGTTTTTTTTTTTCCTTTCAATTTCAGAATGAAGGAAGCCTGTTTACCAGGCCAGATTCCCCCAAATCTCACTGCTTTATCTATAATTTAAATGTGTTATTAATGCACAATATCCAATTAAAACTTTGTGAATTTTAATCAGGCTGGTATAACACACTTTCAAATTATTTTGAAGCTGATTATCACCCATTATGTAACACACACATGGTTTTCACAGCTGTGCAGTAATAGGAAAATCTTAGTTTGCATCTAAGCCTAACAGTATTCAGCTCTGAACCATATCATATCTAAAGTGTTTGATGTTGGCTGCCAGGTGAGAACTGGGTCCCTACTAAAATGCAGAAGACATTTTGTGGCTGCTTTTGTCGCAGCCAAGGTTTCAGCTTGTCACAGACTGCAAATATGAATTCCTTTTTGCTTTTCCAACTTTGTTCTTCCGCACAAATCAATCTTACATTCATTCAGCTTTATTAGATTTATTCTCAAATCACACTGCTGCAACTGAGAACAGAATCAGACCCAGCAATGCACTTTGCCTTCAAATAATTAATGGCATATTGTACAGTCTCACATTTCTGTCCAGCTATATGAGCTGTCCAGAGAACCTGTATACTGAATTTCCACAGGTTGTGCAACAGAGTCCTTTAGTTTTATATCAAGGACTGTCCTGATTAGAAAGAGCCTTATAAAGACAAAGCACCACACTTGGTAATTCATGTGCATAGAATCCACATACAGACCCAAAGTTATTGACCAGGCAGAGTAAATTTTTCTGATCATCACACTGCGCAGTTATTAAAATAAAGTGCTATTTGCTTATGGCTAAACCTTATATGTGGCTATTGCATGCACACTTCAGGCTTCATTGTCAAAAACTGGAACACCTTCAACCAAAAAAGGATGGAGCCTAAGCACTAGGGCAATGACAGGCTTGCTTGTTGGTTTTTTTTTAATTTTATTTTGCGTTCCAACAGAACTTTTGTCAAACATAGAGTACGTGAACACACAACAGTTTCCTTCACTGTTCCCCACACAGAGCTGTTCATAGAGGAGGAATACTAAAAAGGAATGTTTCTGAAGCCATAGATAGCTTCTTCATTTATTTCAGGTTTTGTTTTGTGATTTTTTTGTTTGTTGTTGTTTGTTTGTTTGTTTCTTTTTCTTGTGTTTAGTATTATGACAAAACATTATAAGAAAAGAAAATTAAGTAGTGTAAATATCAAATAGTATCCATCAATCCCTGAATCATGCTATTCAAAGTGCTTAAATTTATACTAAAAATAGAACAACAGAAAATACTCTGCATGTGGCAAAGGAAACACCTACCAATCACCTAAATGTGACTGCAGTCAGATAGTTACATTCTACACTTATTCCACATCCCAGTCTTTATGCCAGGGCATATAAAGGCAAGGAAAAGAGGAAAAAAATAATGCATTGCTTTCAGGGGATACTGGGGTATTTGGCATCCAGTTGAATGAAGGAAAATGCCATTAGTGCCTGACAGGTGTCTGTAAGAGTAAATAAATAATAGCTTTCTTACACTATGAAAATAACCAAATGTGCAAAGCTCTCTTAAAATTCCATTGGGCCTGGCAGCTTCATTTCCATTTTGTGGATGTTTGGCACTTATCCAGAGGGAGACACCGTAATAAAGAACAGATTGTAGAAAAGGACTTGAGCAAACTGTCAGAGAAATAAACATTTTTAAGCAAATAAAAATCAGTGCACATCCCAAAGCTCTATTAGCTTGTTATGCAGTTATTGAGATTTCTTGACTTTCACAACAGGAGCATAGTCATTTCCTCCCACACTGTCAGTTTTGGATTACTCACACAAACATCCCCCAAACTGCAGTTTACTCACTCTCGACCCATCATTTCTCATTAAGAAGACCAAAATATTATAAGCTGTACTTTTCTCATTGTGACAATTGGGATCAATAAACCCCTCACATTCATTATATTGGCCAATATCATTCAGCTACCATAAAAATACCTAAATCTAATTAATTATGTAAATAGACCATAATGTTTGTTTGCCAGGATACCAGTTACATTTCTGCCAAGGTAAATCAAACCCATGACTATATGTGGGTGTGCTGAAACCAGTACCTCTACCCCAGATCCTCTCCTCCTGCTAGCAGAGACTAGCAGAGAGTTTGGCCTGAATATGTTGTAGAGCTACAACACTGCTCCTTTCTCTTTCTAAAACCAGAAAGGGCGTTTCCATTATTTAAAACATAAGTATGAGTAAGATGCTTATTTCATTTTTCTTAAAGATGTGCAAAAAAAAAAAGTTTTTTTTTCCCTGGCAGCCATGGCACACACATTATTTGCAAATCCTCAAAGATAGAATCATACATAAAAAATAAAACTAATTTATTTATTCATTAAAGTGAATAAATTGTTTTTAATACTTTCAGGTCTGATTTAAATATTAATTTTGTATAAATAAAGTTTATTCTGAAAACAATTATATTTGTTGTTATTCATGTAATTTTTTTCTGCCTGAGTTCTTACTGAAATCATGTCTAAATTAATAGTTTTCTTATCATTACAAGCTAAAACCAAATGAAAAGTTTCTTAATCTTGAATATATCATTTTAAAGCAAATACAGGTTTTGGAACATTAAAATACAAGGGGACTCTGTAATCCACAGCAAAATAATGTTTTGCTCTCACTTCTTCAGAAAATAACACCTTCTATAATACAAAGTGACAAACCATCTACAGTACTGTCTTTTTATTCCCTTTTGGTTTGGAAGTCATAACGGTAAATATCAGCAGGACTCTCTGCAATTCAGTGCCTATTGCCTCACTAGACTGACAATTGCAAATTATTTTATTTGCAGGGTTTTGAAAGGGGGGAAATGAAAAGTTAAATGCTTAAAAATAAAATCCACAACCACATTAATACTTTTCTGGGTAGTGTTAAAAATAGGATTTGCTTTTATATTTATAAAAAGCATACAGTCCATTCATTCTTAAAATAATAATTAAAAACTCAAACCCAAGAAAGCAAAAATCAAACCATCTCTAGTTTCTATACACTCAGTAGTGACTACTGTGAAGCAACCGATACAGATTGGGTATATTCTGTTGTTTGACGGGTATCTACCAAGTTACATGTTAGATGATCAGACTGTAGTTTTACCCTGAATGGGGGTAATTGAAAGGGCAGGGAAGGAGAAGTGCACATTACAGGAGCAGAAATGAAACTGGAGCACTCAGTGAGGTATAGGGTCCTTCTAAGAACAAATATTCTCCAAATGAGGTGAACTGCAGCAGGCATGGCCTTCAGGAATCAGGCTAGGCAGGCCAACAGAATGGATGGTGCTTCTGGCATCAACATAGCTTTGTCCAAGCATTCCCAAGAGAGGTTTAAAATCAAACAAACAAAAAGTCTAAAACTATACTAATGAAGCAAAAAAGTTTCCTATCTATACAGCAGTCTCTTCATTTAAAAAAATGTAAATATACAAATTCCAATGACATATAAAACAAAGTCGAAAATGTGAATGGGAAGAGACATGGGTAAAACAGGAAGACTGATGGTACAAAGAAATTGCAAAAACATATGTACAAGACCCTGTTTTTCCTTGTATGTTATCGATTGTAATGCATGTTTAACAGCAGCAGTCGAGGATGTAGTCCCAGGCACCGGACTGCAGACTCAGCTCCTACTCAGGGGGGTTGACAACCCCTTACATTTCCGTCACCAAATGACACTTGATATACTGGTCTCCCGTGGCAAGAGGGGCAGTATCGCACTGTTTGTGTGAGCCTCTTCTGGATTCTGCTCCCTGTTAGGTTTTGTCTGTGGCCGCTGCCCGTTTATAAGTGTCATAGGGATGTTGCAGTAGGTATGCTGGTTACCTATTGAGGTAAGTGGCAGGGTGCCGGTAGGAGGTACATCGTATTCATAGCTTCGATAATAGTGTTTCTGGCGCATCTGTGAATGATATGTGTTATGAAAGGTGGAGCGCAGGTCTGGATGGGCAGTGGCAAGAGCTGTGGAGGTGGCAGCAGCCATGGAAATTGCGGAGACTGTCTGCAGTTCCCCAAAGGGCCCCTGCTCACTGACATCTAAAACCTGCTCGTGTGTGATGGGTTCAATCCTCTTAAAAGGCATTTCATACTGTAAACGTTTCCAGAACTTGGAATTCAACTTGTTGCATTTTGGTCCGTGCCATTTAATGACAGTGAGGAGCTTGATGGTATGTTTCAGGGCCTCAACCTCCTGGTAGTTCATAACTCCTCGTAGTTCACTGCATTCAATGAGTATCACTTTAATTTCACCCGTAACTAACATGTTCCGAAGCCTTGTTTCCAGTTCAAAGATGCTCCAGCCTCTTCTTACCACATAATTTGGAGTCATGACGATGATCAGTCGCTTGCTTTGGTCTACACATCTTGCCACGTCTTCAATGTAGGCTACAAAATAAGACAAGTGCTCAAAAATCAATCTCAGAAAACACTCTGCTGCTATAGACTGCAGAGAAACCACAGAGGCAAATCTCTGCTCCCAGAAGACCTCACTGAAATATGCAAAAACATTCCTTGCAAACATGCCAGTTTGGATATGGTCCAGCCAGGACATGGTCCTGGGCAACCTGCTCTAGGTGTCCCTCTGCTTGAGCACAGGAGTTGGACAAGATAACCTCCAGAGGTCCCTTCTTTCCAACCTCAACTATTCTGTGATTGACCAAAACATCTGTTGCCCCGTGTGCTATGGATTGTGAGTGTTCATGAGCTGTGGTTTTGCAATATCTATATCTTTATTTGAACAAGCGTATCCATCACCATTTCTTCCTTTATAAAGACCAAGTCACCCAGGTAGGCAACAGAGCAGTAATTGTGTGCTTCAGGGGCTCAGCCTCAAAACCTAAATTATACTCTAAAGTGCACTGTAAGATTATACTGTTCTTTTCCTTTCATGCACCCACCCAACTAATTCACAAAAATGGTGTTGTCTCCTGCAAATTAATTTCAATTTGATGTAAATTTCAAAAATAACCAAGCAATTATGTTTGATGATGTACTTTGCCTATATCAAGCATACTTTCTTCAGTAGAAGGTATTGGACTTAATAGCTGTCTATATGCTTACATTGAAGTTATGAAGAATACTACAGCAACTTACAAAACATTATTGTAAGTAGGTTGGAATATGTGAAAGTAACATAAAAAGATCTACTTGTACTACCTGAAATAAATTCTAATTTTCAGTCTCTGAGAATGATCCAGTACCTCCTCTATATAGTAGACACTAAAAGAATTCACTACTTTGCTCTGTTATAGATGTTTTTACTCAACCTTTGCCTTAGTCGAAACACAACTTTTTTTTATTCTTATCTGAATTTCTGTAATAAATACTTAGAATCATAGATATCTTTCCAGGCAAACTTTGAGGAAGAGAAAACAAAGTTGTCTGTATTCATTTGCAGATATATAAGCTCTCAAAAATCTCTGAAAAAAAGTTAGTCTTATTAATTTCCTTTACTTATGCATGCTCTTTCTCTCCTGTCTCACCTTCAATCAATATAATAACGTTACTAAAAAATAATCCTCTTATCTGAGAAATACACATTAAGTACGTCTGATGGTTTAACTTCATCATTCCCTAAGATGAGGGAGGAAAGATGATATTCTGAAGGAGCAGGCATAGAAACGATACCAAAATAATCACTGCAATCACTGCATTTACCATTTAGGAAAGACATAAGCATAAAGACATAACTTACTTCCCGTGGGAATCAAATCTCTTTCTGGTATGAACAACTTATATCCATAATGCTTTTCAAGCATATCTGGTAGGATCTCAAGAGCAAATCTTTCTTCTTCTCCAGTTTCTTGATTCCACTGGTCAGGATCCACTTTGGTATAGGATAGATATGCATCATAGTCTTTGTTGTCTAAGGAATCAGAGGAAGAAAGTAAGTTTGTTTATTCATTATTCTTGCAGGTTTCCTAGATGATTCCCCAGTAATTATTTCTTGGACAATTTTCCAGAACTAGGAAGTTTAGATAAAATGGCAAGCTTTCACCTAGTCTCCGGATATGAATCCATTCATCTTTTCCTGTTTCACCTGGTAGAGGTAATCCTTATTTATACAGATGCAAGGGAGAAGTGATCCATATCCATAGATTGAAGTAAGTTGGTGCATAAACATTTGTGTAAGGTTCACTATGAAGGAAATGCACTCAAATTTGGGGTGACAGCTTGTGACTACAGAAGAAAAAAAATTACTGAAAGGAATTTTGATTCTTCTCTAGCTTTAAAAGGAGAAAACAAAACATGGAAACACCTAAGATAATATGCAATTTTCTCTGTTGCATAGTGAGAACATTTCAGCTTTGTCAGATTTTCGCTACAAATTTAGGGCCTAGAGCTGAAACATTCTAAGCATATGTGTATCTTGTAAAACTTGTTGGCTTTCCAGGTCTGAAATTATTGCCAAGCTTAAATCTTTGCAGCATCAACTCCTGATAATGCAGTTTAAATCTCCTGAATTCTAGGTGCTTAAATTTACAAATTTAATGTTGCACTAATGTACCTTTTGTTACTTAACAGTGTGTTATTTCATTTCAATGTGAGAAATAAATGTTACTGTTTCTTAAATGTGCTTGGTATGCCTACTTAAAAGACTGAATCAAAAAAGCCATCATTAATTTTCATTAAGAGATCAATAATGCCAAGTGCTTTGGAACTAATTCAGAGGAATAAGAGGTCACGTTTTGACTTTTGTTGTGAAGAAAGTAGAAAAAAATCAATAGCAAGAGTAATGAAATGTTAACATCCTTTTATGTCTCTTGACAACATTATGCACAGGCTATCAAGAATATCAATTGCTTGTAAAAGAGAGAGTTTGGATACTCGACTGTGTGTCACAAGTAACATTATATTCCGTCAATGCTGACTTCAGCTATTTACTGAGCCACTCCTTTCCTCATTTTACACCTTTTTGTACTCTGGTAGCATTATTTGGAAAAGCCTGCCAAGTGCAAGACGGATGCAAAGAGCATAAAAGAATCACAGAACCACAGAATCACAGA